TCTTCATCAGTGGTGGACAATAACTAAGTAATTGTAATTCGTACTGTACTTAAGTAGTTTTTTTGTGTATCTGTACTTTACTGAAGTATTTCCATTTTAGGCAACTTTTTACTTTCACTCTACTAGATTTAAAAGTCAAATATCCTACTTTTTACTCCACTACATTATGTGAAATCTGTCATTCCTTTTGACTTATGTGTGCATAAAAACACAACATGTCAAAATGATAGAAGCGCAAAGCAAGAACACCAATCAGGGCACAGCGCACTTAGTTTTGAGCTTGTTTTGACCTGTTGGACATACCGACCCAGCGCAAGCATACGGTTCAACATCAGTGCAGCAGCGTAAAATTTTGGGAGGGTCTATTCAACATAAATGATGGAAGAAACTCCTGACTCTAACCTAACTTTGTGTAAATAGACCACAATATAGAGATATGTACTCATATGCAGTTGTGACTGATGTGTCTTTTTTTCTGAATTTATACAAACCCTGTTTCATTTTATAGTAGGTTTGTTTTTGCTAGTTTATGTTTATGAACAGAGAACCTACAGATGCATTATAGTAAAGGAAAGCATGTTTGTGGTTCTAACTAATGGAAATTGTTTGCCTTCAGTGTTTTGTGCTTATGATAATTTTAATAGACATCAGCGTCAGACTAATTAATGACATTCTATTAAAGGATTGGTTTACCAAGAGTGACAATGGAGTATTTTCACCTAAAATGAGTTAATGTAGCAAGAGTCTTCTTACAAAAATGATAATAAACATCAGAATCATAATTAATCTTTTAGTACTTTTACTTTACATACTTAAGTACATTTGAAGGTAAATACTTTTGTGCTTTTACTCAAGTGGAGGTCTAAAGGGAGGAACTTCTACTTTTACTGGAGTAATATTTTACCTTGGGTATCTCTCCTTTAACTCAAGTACATGGTTTGTGTACTTCGTCCACCACTGCTCTTCGTGCTGTGGTTGTCTTTTGGTGACTTTCCTACACATTTACCACAGTAGTTTAGTTCCCCACTCTGCTGTTTGAATGAAGAGCATTTTCCTGACTCCAAGTCTTCTTCTGCACTGATGCAACAATAAATAATGATTCTATCGAAGTAGTATAATTTCAGAGTTCAAAACACATTTAAGACTTTTAATGGACTTGCACTTTGGCTTTGAGTGATCCTATACCTTAATTATGTTGTATATTATATACTGAATGTTCAATTTGGTCACTACCAAATGTCTCAGAAATTACTACCATTTTTACCAAACGTCTCGGAAGTCACATGACTAACAAACTCAAACACATAAAATCACAATATTTTCATTAAAACACAAAAATGTTTACTTAATTCCACATTTGACACTAAAGTTATCACATATTTGCTCATTTCATACAAACAACACCGAATATGAAAGCTTGTTCTGACATTTCTTCAAGACGAGGCTCCGTTTAGATTAACAGTAATGTTACCCAACTGCGTTGGCCTTAGTTAAGTTAGCAATGGCCAAGTTCACAGGTCTATATTTGCTGTTAATAGTTCACACTTCACTCCAACTATCAGAGTGAAATCATACAGACTCCTTCTGTAATTTATTTATTTTTTCAAGGCAGAATCTGGGCCAGACTGATGATGACACTCATTTGAGACACACACACTGAGGATGGACACTTGGAGGTCGACTTTGGAGAAACTTACATTAAGAAATGAATTGTTTGACGCAAATATATTTATTAAATTATTTAAAGTTATATTAATTTATTAGAAATCGAGGCTTTTAATCAGTTTATCCAGCAACATAACTTTCACAGTTGCAGCTGATGAACTTTAGCTTTATTCTAGCAAAACAGCACAAAGAGCTCATATCATATTCTGTTGTGTCATTTTTACTGTAAAAAGCATTTTTGGATTCTGTGTGTAATAATCTGAAGTTATGGTCTACTAAATTGTAGCTTAACGCTGGTGAAATCAGCTGGACTCAGAGTTGCAATCTCTCTCAAACTTCTGCATGTGTCTCCTCCATGTGTTCTTGTGAATTCACTATCACATGGTAACTCGTCAATGTGTACTTCCCAAGAATATAACTTTGTTGTTCTTGATAGTGATATGTTCTTATCAAGAACTCAAAGAACATATATGTTCTTTGAGTTCTTGATATTGAGAAACAACCTGTGTTTTGGTGTTGACATGAAACTAGGGAGAGGTTTTTTCAAATTTTTCTTTTTTTTTAATTTAAAAATGAAACTCATGATAAATGTAAATGTTCTAACCACTTTAAGAGAAATCAATAAAAAAGTAATAAGCATTATTATTTTCACGAGTTTAAATTTAGGGGTTAGGGTTTGAGAGATACCTCAGTAGAAAGTACTCTATTAATGTTGATAATATTTATCTTCTTACTGTCTATTAATGCCTTGGGTTTAAATAGATCATAACATACCTCTTGTAAATACTGAAGGTCATAATATGTAATTATTATACAAATGAATACTTAGGTGTTTGTATACATTCACGCACACACAAACACACACACACACACACACACACACACACACATTATATACATACACACTTCAGTACGACAAGTAGCAAGGACAATGTTGGCTGTCTGTGTGTGAAATGTTGTGGTTATTGAGCAAGGAGGAGTTAGAACAACTGTTGTGAAAAAAAGTTTACACCACCGCAGACAGCTGTGCAATGATAAAACCATGTGCAACTTCTATACTAAGAAAACAACATTTAGACACAATAAAACACTTTTATAAATGTTGATTTGCTTGAAAATGAAAATGCACTTCACTTCTCATTTTGTAAATCATATATATTTTCATCAAAATACAGTTTATCACTGAAAAAAGGCACAGTCAACTAAGGGACCTAAAATGGGTAGAAATTATATTGAATTTGGGTTTTTCAAAGGTCTAAGTGGACAATAACACTAACAAATAACAAAATACATGAGGAAGACCATGAGTACATAGTTGCTCAGCAACCCATAACCTTTTAGGACAGGGGTCTTGGCTCCTGGTGGGCCATGACTCTGAAGATATTTCCTCTTCTGATGCTTAAATCAACTCAAAAGGTCTTGCTAGGTCTGGAGTACAACACATATGGGTTCAGGAATCTAGTCTATGTGTGATGTTGTGACGCTGCCACATGAGAGGTGTTTTTAAGGAGTCACTGGGACAGTTGACTGGAAACATGAAGAGGAAGGAGAGAGAAAAGTTTGGCCATGTGGAAGTGAAGGTGGTGGTGTGTTTAGAGAAAGAAGAAGCAGCACATCCCAAAACCACACACTCTACACAAGAACTTGTGCACTCGGCCGAGGATTCATCGGAAGGAGCAAGACAAGGGCAGGGAGGAAGTAGAAAGTGTCCTCTGGTGTCTTGTGAGTATTAGAAATAGGCCTGCACTAACAGTGAGATCTTTCCTGGATTGTTTTTTTTCTGTTCAGTGCAATGCATTGCTAAGGACTTGTGTGATTTTTGGGTTTTGTGTATTGAGTTTGGACTTTGTGGATTTTGGGACTTTGACGGACACTGGATATATATTGTGTATATAGGGGTTGTGTATGTGCATGGCTTTGTACCAGTATTGAAAATCAGGTTACTGATGACTGATATACTATAACTTGAAAGGATTGTTTTTTTTGTCTCTTTCCTGTTTGGAGTTAATTGTAACCTCTTCAACTCCTATACTTAACAGTGTATTTTACTCTAACAACTTCAGTAACTATTTTCTTTGTTGAGATTTACAAGGAGGATTGTTACAATGTCTCACCAAAATTGTCTACAAGGAGACACCAAATACCAGCTTAGGTTATTTTTTTTTACAGTTGCTAAGAAGCCATCAAAACTCTTCATACTTCTTTTTTTGAAGTCTTTTCATGGTTTAAACTGTCAAAATGTCAAATAATGATTTTGTTAGTCTAAACTAAAATTTTAGTTTTATATTAATTTTTAGTGTACATTTTACATTGAATTGACATTTTTAGAGTGAAATAAAAAAAAAACATTACAAAACTGAATGGTATATCTTTATTGTATAGGAACAAATGAAGCAATAGACAATTCTGTACTTTACTTTATCTAGCAAAGAAAAAAAATCTTGTTCACAGATACTGTAAATGTATGTAGGTGCTGGGCCCATAATGGACCATCCATTGTGATTGAGACTGAGTGAGAAATGAATTAAAGAATTGTGGAAATTGTGGTCACTGAGTGTATTTTGTATTTACGTACGGAAAAAAAAACGATCGCTTGAGTGATGTTCAAACGGTGTTATTTTTTTAGACTCAGTACTGAGAATGAATGTTAACAACTGCAGAAAAAGCTGATCCAACACTAATCAGTTCACTGGTCACTGGTAGAAACATAAATGGGGAAGCTCATAACACTCAGCACTGCATCTGTTTGCTGGGAAAGTGGATTGCTGGTTTGTTGGTTAAGCTGCTTGCTAGAAAAGCTTCTCATTGTGGAGATATGTGCATGGGCAATAGCCAGAACAAGCTGGAAAAATGCATATTTGTGAGTCATTTGAGCCAAACACTACAAATTGTTTATGCTGTTTTTGTTAGATTTCACAAATGATAGGAAATATGATTTTGAAATGCTATTGTGACTTTTAGTTTCAGGTTTATGGACCACTTCCCTTTTCTCAAGGACTTTGCTTATACACACACATTGCTGTATAACTTACCAGACAGGACAAAGCAAAAAGCTAATGTTATTGTTTGTCTCTGAACTGAATCCAACACGCACAAAGCTGCAAACCCAGCTCTGAACCTTTACATCAGAATATCATCGTAAGTGAAGAGATGACCAAGAGGTTGAATTTAGTTGACAAACTAAAGAAAAACTTCTGCTTCTAGAAGTTTCTGCACATGAACCATGTGACTCACACATCTCAAACATCATTACAGTCTCACATCTGTGGCTGGCATCACTATCTAACACGGCGTACTTAGTTTAGAGAAGACTGATTACTATCACAGTTGAGCACAGATACTCTGCAGTGACTTCCTGTCAGCTGTAGCGTTAACCTGATATACAGAGTCACTTTTAGAGCTATCAGAGTTATTAAAGTTAACATCAGTCAGAGCAGAATGGAAATGAGGGAGGATATATATGCAAATTCAGGAATTACTACAGACGACAGAAGAAATTTTAATAGCAGTGAGGCTTTATATGAAGACATGTTTGCCAGTGAGGACAACATAGAAACTCATCAGACCTGGAGCAACAAAAGGAACACCGGTACAGTAACTGCAGAGAATATACACACTAAAAATGATGCGAAGATGGACGAAACCTCTCACTCACATACAGTAGATCCTCAGTACAGAGGTAGGTTTCAGTCTTTTTTGGGGTTTTTTACTTACCCATGTATTACTATGTGAAATAATGCTATTGGCACACACTAAAGTGTAATGTTAATCAGCTTTATAATTAACTAGCTTGCATTGTACTGTATCACACAGGAGCAATCCAGTATAAGTCATTCATTCTTTAGCCCACTTGGGAACTTTGCATAAGAACATAGATACTGTAGATATCATAACATTCACTGTTATTAAAAGAGACACAGCTTTTGCACAAGTCATGTTTTTTTTTGTTTTTTTATTAACCAGCTGGTGTTGGCCACAGATATGTACATTAGGCTAAGAGCGAACTCTAATAGTAACTCTCAGTTCTTCCTGCTCAACCACATATCCCTCTGGAGGAAACTAGCCCTACCCTCACAACAAGAGTCCTTACTAGAATAACCCGTAAATAAATGCTGAAGAACCAATAATCTAAACTAACATATCAAAAACATTTTTGAACATGCTACTACCCCCCTTACAAAAGTCCTCGCCCTCGAGAAACTACAAAGTCTTTGAACCAAACTGGGACTGGAGTAGTGTACTGGAGTAGGGGAGTCATCCATATAGACTGGCACTAACGGGAAGCATTCAAAGGGCTGTCTGGTGTTGAGGGGGCACTCCAGGCTGGGCAGGCTGACGCACACGGCTACTCTGTTGCAGAGGATTGAAACAACACCTCCCCAGTGCTGTCCCCTTAAAGTCTTGTGCAGCCCCTATAAAGGGCCAGCATTAACTGGTGGAGTGCCACTTTGCCCCCTCAGGGATATAGGGGCAACTGCACTTTTTACACAACTTCTAATCTCTCCAGAATCTGGCCCCACCTAGTGGCTGGTCCTTCTTCCTTTTTGGACTGTAGACCAATACAAGTTCCCCTACTGTGAAACGCTGTGCACGGGCATACAAACCATAGCTCCTTTTTTGTTATAGGCCAGAACTTAGCAGCTGCTTCCTAGCATATGTATGTGCAAAGTCCATGTCGTCTTGAAGCCATTGTGCATTCTCTGGTCCTGCTGGTTCTGATGGGGTGTCTGGGGGTTGACCAAAAGACATTTCAGTGGGGATCCTAATTTCAATTCTCAGCATTAGTAGGGCTAGGGTGCTCGAAGTTGAATTGTGACATGAGAACCAGGGACGAGTGCTTGTCCCAGTCATGTTGGTGGATGTTAGGATAGCTAGCTGCTCTGCTAAGGTCAACCAATCAACCAATCACTCTGAGGGTGGAGCGGGGTGGTGCAAGTCTTCTGCTTGCATATGTTGGCGAACACTCTGGATTCTCAAAATTGTGCTCCATGGACTAAGGAACTCAAAACCTACTGACCATCCCTTTAACCAAGGTATCAGTGAGCCTTCCAGTGCAAAAAATGAAAATTCCACAGTCTTTCTTCCTGTGCAGAACGTTGTCTACTGGGGACAGTTGGACCTGCCAGTACCCACTCCATAAGCCTAAAGATGAAAACCAGGACTATTCAAATATTCATCCATATGTGGAATGAGGTATGAGTCTTTCTTTGTGACCTCATTGAGCCTCCTGGGCCACTGTCACGGTCAATCCCATGTCCACTGGAGCAATGCTTGAAACTCCTTCGATGTTTATGGAAGTATGACAGAAGATGTGGATGTGGGATGATGATGCGGGGGCCTGCGGCATCCCATTCACTGCAACCCTGTCAAGTTTCACCCTGACTTCACTCCCAATGGACTGGCCTTAACCAGATGTTCCAGCCGGTCGCACGTCCAGAACCGGCAGCCCCGAAGGTATGGCCAGCCTACTGATCTGTGGAGACTGCTCCACAGCTCCGACTGCAGGACTGGTAATATCCATGCACCTTGAAGCTGCTGACAACACCATTTCTCTCTCTCTAGCGCCTTCTCCAAGGCCTCTTACAAGTCGCATGGGTGAGCCAGCTCTGTGTGGACACATAACTCAGTTGAAGACATTACCATGATGAACTGGTTTCAGGCTAACTCTCTCTGCACAGAAGGTGGCATGTAAGAATAAACCCATCTAGCTAGAGTTTCAATATCAATAGAGAGGGCTCTTAATGACTCCCCTGCCTATCATCTGTGGTTACACAGTTCAGACTGAAAGAACTTGCACAAGTAACGCCACCCAAAATGCAGTATATTATATTGTTTGTTGCTGTTGTATAAAAGCATTAAACCATTTGAGACCATGAGTTCCTGTGATTTTACCAAGTGTAGGGGGTATAATTATCCTTTTAAGGAATAATAGTCAAATTAACATGATTAAGCAAAGACATGTTTGATATCTGATATGTACTTCTATAGCTTACTAGGAGATGCTAAGCTAATGTTGCTAACAAACATTGGACCGATCTCATTTCTGTAAACACATGCCCAAAAATGTATAAAAACAAAAATAAACTCCTCTTAGGTGAACAGCAGGGCAGCCATTGTAAGTAACTGGAACCACTTTTACCTCAGCACAATATACAGTATCATTCCGAGCAAAACAAAGAGCAGAGCTATGTAAATTCCTAAACACACAGGTGCACTGTAAGGTAACTTGGCAGAAAAGCTAAGTTATCACACTTGGAAAATGAAACCAATGTCTGATTAAATTTTGATGACCACATTTCAACTGTATATGTTTGAAAGTGTGTATACACATGAAGAAATGCGTCAGCTGGATGCTGGACCCACCAGTGACTCACCAGACATACCTGGCATTCCTTGTAAGACTGGGTTTACTTGTGGCAGGTGCTAGGTGATTTCAACCTAGGTGGAGTATCTGTCATGAAGAGTTAGAGCTTTTGAAGCAATGTACACGTTAGCTGCATATGGCATGACAGTAGCTAAGTGAGCACAAAACGGACAGCAAAGATGGAGAAAAAGTTAACAAAGCTTATTTCAAAATCACTTTCCATCTATAGAAATTGGAAGTGCTATGCTATGTGCAGCAAGACAGCAATCACAAACATACAGCCAAATCAGTGAAGGAGTTTTCTGAAGCTAAAAATTCTTGACTGGCCAAGTCAGTTACTAATCTGAATCCCACTGAGCTGCCATTTCATTTGCTGGAGAAAAACCTTAAGAGGCTGAGGCCCTGAAATGCACTGACCATATAGGTGCACATTGTAGTTCTACAATTACAGACTGTAGTCCATCTGTTTCTCTGCATACATTGTTAGCCCCCATTCACCCTGTTCCTCAATGGTCAGGACCCCCACGGGACCACCACAGAGCAGGAATTATTTGGGTGGTGGATCATTCTCAGCACCGTAGTGACATTGACATGGTCACAAGTGCATCAGACATAGCAGTGTTGCTAGAATTTTTAAACACTGTGTCCACTCACTGTCCACTAGCAGACACTCCTACCTTGTTGGTCCACCCATCAGTGGTAACAGGACACTGTTGCCTGTATACTTTTGGTTGGTGGACTATTCTCTGTCCAGCAGTGACACTCTTTTTGGTCCTCTGTCAGGTAGATAAAATGACAATAAGTGTAGAAACAAGAAGGTGGTTTTAATTTTATGGCTGATATATATATATATATATATATATATGTATATATATATATATATGTATGTATGTATATATATATATATATGTATGTATATATATATATATATATGTATGTATATATATATATATATATATTTATATATTTATTTATTTATTTATATAGCGCTGCTGTCAGAACAAAACCATGTATCTCTATTTTTTTTACATAATTTGAAAATGCCTGTTGTCCTTTAAATTTTGTGTACATTTCCTGGTGAATGGACCAAAAGAAACAACCCAAAATTACTCGGAAAGACATCGGGTTCCATTGACTTACATTAAAAGTAAGGTATGTTTTTTCCTTCTCCTGTAAAGTTACCTTTTTGGAGATATGAGGTTTTAATCCGACAACAGCAAAATTTATATGTAAGTATATAATTGTACAATAAAGCAAGTTTTTCTTTTTCTCATTTTTTAAATCATGTTTTTTAATGCTTTTGAATACAAATGTTTTATTCATAATTACAAAGTCACAAGACATTATGGTTATACATTTTTTTCCACTCACTGTTACTGTTTTCAGGATTCTACAGACTGGCTGCAGTGTGTCTGGGGCTGCTGTGTGTTCTCCTGCTGGTTGCTGTCACAGTGCTGTGGATCAAGTTACAGGCCAGTAACACCAACCTGACTATAGAGAGAGACCAGTTACAGACCAGATACACCACTGTGATGCATCAGCTTCAGAAGCAGAGAGAGTGCCTCCAGAACTTTTCTAATTTGGGTGAGCAGATCATCTCCAAGCTTTCAAATGGTTAACTTCTTTTGGAGTAACTAAGCCAAATTGAATTTGTAAGCAAGCAATATATATTGTAGTGTTTTACACTATTGAAAGAGGCACACAGTTTACTGCACAATTTGTGTGTCCGTACTGGCCACTGCCATGCAAGCAAGACTTCAGGCTAACAGCTCCAGCTTAGCTCAGGTTTGCACTCTTCTCGTCTGAGCCCCGACCGACTAATTCTTCCTGTCGTACAGGCATAAACACAGTAAAAAAAGGACTAGTTCAATATAAGAGACCTCAGAATAAACTCTTCAGTAGAGAATACTGAGAATACTGCAGTAGAACCAATAACCAGAATCAACATGAACGCATTTTTCTTGAACACGCTACAATATTATTACCATGTTTAAATCACTATGTGCACCATTTAATTGATTTTTTTTCCAGTCAAATTGGTCATTAAGTACAAGCATAAAAGCATTAGTGATAATGTAATAAGTGATAAAGTAATAATTAGGGGTGCGGGAAAAAATCGATTCTTAGATGCATCGCGATACGGACGTGAAAGATTCTGAATCAATTAACAAATGTCAAAAATCGATTTTCTAAATATTTAATTTATAACAATGTTGACAGCAACGTGGGGGGACCATGTGGGCCCACCATCCGCAAGGTCCAGCATGGGGGAGTGGTGCAGTGCCGTACAGGCAGTGGGAGATTGCACGGGGGCCCTTGGTGGCCTAGGCCCCTGCGGCAGAAACTGGCTCTCGGTACGTGGAATGTAACCTCACTGGGGGGGAAGGAGCCGGAGCTTGTGCGGGAGGTTGAGAGGTACCAACTAGATATAGTTGGGCTAACCTCCACCCACAGTATCGGCTCTGGAACCAAACTCCTGGATAGGGGTTGGTCCCTCTCCTACTCCGGGGTTGCACAAGGTGAGAGGCGGTTGGCAAGCTCTTCAGTGGCAAGGCACCGGGGGTGGATGAGATTCGTCCGGAGATGCTTAAGGCTCTGGATATTGTGGGGCTGTCGTGGCTGACACGCCTCTGCAATAGTGCATGGACCTCGGGAACAGTACCCTTGGACTGGCAGACCGGGGTGGTGGTCCCTATTTTCAAGAAAGGGGACCGGAGGGTGTGTGCCAACTACCGGGGTATCACACTGCTCAGCCTCCCTGGGAAAGTCTATGCCAAGGTGCTGGAAAGGAGAATTCGACCGATAGTTGAACCTCAGATTGACCGACCGATAGTTGAACCTCAGATTGAGGAGGAACAATGCGGATTCCGTCCTGGCCATGGAACAATGGACCAGCTTTTTACCCTCTCACGGATTGTTGAGGGGGCATGGGAGTTTGCCAACCCAGTCTACATGTGTTTTGTGGATTTGGAGAAGGCTTACGACCGTGTTCCCCGAGATATCTTGTGGGAGGTCCTCTGGGAGTATGGGGTGCCGGGTTACTACTCCGGGCCATTCAATCTCTGTATGCCCGGAGTGAGAGCTGTGTTCGTATACTCGGCATTAAGTTGGACTCTTTCAGTGTTAGTGTTGGACTCCGCCAGGGTTGTGCCCTGTCTCCACTCCTGTTTGTGATATTCATGGACAGGGTGTCAAGGCGTAGCCGGGGTCAGGAGGGCATTATGTGTGGAGGCCGGAGGGTGGCGTCTCTGCTATTTGCAGATGATGTTGTTCTTTTGGCTGGATCACATGGATGCCTCCAGCGCACACTGGAGCAGTTTGCAGCGTGTTGAGTGTGAAGCGGTTGGTATGCGGATCAGCACCTCCAAGTCTGAGTCCATGGTCTTAGCCCGGAAAAGGATGGTATGCCCACTCCAGGTAAGGGGAAAGGACTTGCCCCAGGTGGAGGAGTTTAAGTATCTCGGGGTCTTGTTCACGAGTGATGGGAAGAAGGATCGTGAGATCGACCGCAGGCTGGGACAAGCGGCAGCAGTAATGCGGTCGCTGTACCGGACTGTAGTGGTGAAGAGGGAGCTGAGCCGTAAGGCGAAGCTCTCTGTTTACCGATCGGTCTACATCCCGACCCTCACCTATGGTCATGAGCTGTGGGTAATGACCGAAAGAATGAGATCGCGAATACAAGTGGCGGAAATGAGCTTTCTTCACAGGGTGGCGGGCTACACTCTATTTGATAGGGTGAGGAGCTCGGCCATCCGGGAGGAGCTCGGAGTAGAGCCGCTACTCCTCCGCATTGAGAGGAGCCAGCTGAGGTGGTTCGGGCATCTGATCCGGATGTCCCCTGGACGCCTCCCGGTGGGGGTGTACCAGGCACGGCCTACCGGAATAAGACCCCGGGGTCGTCCTAGGACCCGCTGGAGGGATTATATCTCCAAGTTGGCCTGGGAGCGGCTTGGGGGGGCTTGTTGCGGGGGACAGGGTCATCTGGGATTCTCTGCTCTCCCAACTGCTACCGCGACCCTATCTGGACTAAGCGGTTAACGATGATGATGATGATGATGTTAACGGAACGCAAAAGGCGGAACTTGGAAGTGCAGCGCCCGGACAGTCTCTGGCGGCACATAACAAAAAACACAAGTGGATGAGCAAGAAATCCGACCGGCTCCATCTGCATTAAAAGCCAGGTTAGGTCAAGAGTCACAACACAAATGTTAAGAAGAGCCATTTTGTCCTTTCAACAAAAATCAAACCAGCTTGGGAGCCACAACATCTAATGTCCAGTATGTCTCAGTGTGTGCTGATGTCCTAGTAGAGGCTAAACAATATAAACGAGAGCGCAGACTTACTTTAAAGCTCTGCTTTAAGCTTTAGCTCAGCTATAGCCGCTTTCCTCTCATCTCCGCCAGAAAACTTTTCCTCAGAAGTAGATCAGTTTCTTGTAAAATGTTCGACTGTTTAAGAAGCGACTTCAGCCTCGTAATTCTCCAGCTTCTTGTTCGAATTTACCCGTTCCACCTTAAATTCTTACCGAGGCGCTGAATGTAAATGCGGCACCATTTAAGGTGGAACGGGAGAATTCGAAAGAGAAGCGACTTCAGCTTTGCCACTTTTTAGTGTTCGACAGTCTCTCGTTGCAGATTTACTGTACCAGGAAACCAACTGCGCTGCTTATAAATACAAATAACGCATCGCTGCTATGTGACCTGCAGTCTGCATGCCAGTTCTCAGTCGTTGCGAAACAGGGCTTTCTCTTTATGCTGCACACGTCCCGTCTCAAAGATACTTTACTGACACAGCGATCCCCCCCGTCTCTACAACGAGACCAAAACCGAAGTTATAAAATCACTAAAGAAAACGGGTAGAATAGCTGTAATGCGCTGCATGGAAATCCATCACCACTGGATCTTATTTCACCGTAACTGCGCATTTTATCACAGATGAGTAGCAGCAGCTTCTTGTGCTCCAAACAAGAGCACTGAATGAGAGCCTTCTAGTTCACTTGCCACATCACTTCCATTTGTTTTAATAAAAAGATATTGGAAGTAAATTCATTATAGATCATTACAAATACTTTGCTTTAAAAGTACCAGGTCACTTTAAATAACAATAACACCGAGTCACTTAGTCACTTTAAAATGTATATTGTCTCTATATTCTGTGTATATTTTGTGTATATTTAATGACAAATAAACTTGAAACTTGAACTCGCACAGTGAGAAAATATAAATGCTATATAGAAAAAAAAAGATGCATCGAGATGCATCGATAATCGTTTTATAATCGCATCGCAGCCCTCTGATTCGTAATCGAATCGAATCGTGAGGTGCCTAGAGATTCCCTCCCCTAGTAATAATGTTTGCATCACTTTGTGCCATTTCATCCTGTGTTAAAATAAATAAAAGGTTTATTTTTACACAGTCACCACAAAGATGAGCAGAGTGCAGAATTTCCCATCTACCATTAAATAAATTTCAAACCATCAATCTAAGAATTGCTAAATGTTAAACTACTAACTAAGAGAGAAAAGCTGATTAGCATTAGCTTAGCTAGCATTACAACAGCTCTGCTCACCACAGAACAGGTTCATTTCTGGCAAACTAAAGCACCAACACAAGTTTAGCTTCAAATCTGAGGGAGTGAAACAGATCACCTACTGCTGGAAGGACAGAAAGGCCTAAATATGACCTATTCTGTGGCGTCTGGATCTGTAGCAAGTTAGCTATGCTAACAATAACTTAGCAGGCCAAATGTGCCACATACAGTACAGGCTAGATTCTAACTTACTGATGCTCTGCTGACACAATTACGGGCATCATTTTCAAATACTGTACGTGGTGAACCTTATTACTGCCAAACGCTAGAAAAATATTAGAAATGAATAAATTATACTTCGTGTTGGAGACGTTGGTGTTAAATATATGTTTCCTGTGTTTTTATTTTATTAATGCTTAAGCTATTTTCTGATAAGGACATGCGCCAGCTTCTTGTTCAAGATTTTCCATTTCCACCTTAACTGGTGCAGCAGGTATATTCTGGCACCTGAGGCATTATAACAAATGCACCATTTAAGGTTGAATGGGAAAATTCGAACAAGAAGCTGGCGAATAAGATGCTGACTTCAGCTTTGCAGTTTTCATGCTGGTAGTTTTGGGTTCAAAACATTTTTGTTTACCACAGGGCGCAGTGGACGTGATTTGTCAAAAACCCCCTTCATTCTGGCCATAGAGAAATCAAGCTTAGACTCAGAGTTCCTAATATAGACATAATGTGGACTACAGAATGACGCACAACTTCAGGGGTCTATGTCCTTCACTCCCAGTAGTGGAGGATTATAGCACTGTACAATTGGTTGGCTCAGTCCAGCTGATTTGATTTAGCTTTGATAATTCCATAATGAGTAGAATCAGTTTTGAAAGCATGTGTGATTGTGACATATTCACAAATTGTGTTAAGCCCTATTTACTTTTGATTATCACACATAATTACCATGGACCCAATAAACTGACTGTGTGTGAAAGAAGAAAATACCTGTGATATTAAAGTGTATAATGAATCTCTGTGTTTGTGTTCAATTCATAGAGAAGGCAGCACAGCAGGGCTGGACATTTTTTGAGACCAGTATGTACTTCATCTCTACTGGAGGGAAGAAGAGCTGGAGTGAGAGCAGACAGGACTGCAGAGAGAGAGGAGCAGACCTGGTGATCATAAACAGCAGAGAAGAACAGGTGAGAGAGAGAGAGACAGAGAGAGAGATTTGGGGAAGGGATGGTCAGTTACGTCAGACCACACAAGCACAAATATGTGTGCAGTAAGTTACTTTTCTTCTCAGTTACTGGGAATGTACATCTGGTTTTTAACAGAACTTCACTGAAATACTGAAACGAGGACATACAATTTGGATTGGTCTGACCGACAGTGAGACAGAGGGGGTCTGGAAATGGGTGGACGGCTCAGCACTGACCACTGGGTAAGAGATCACTGAACTGAACTCTGGACATGGTGCAGTTAATGACTGTCACTCCTCACTGCTCTGATAAACACAGTGGATTCTCTGATTCTCTCTTTCAGGTTCTGGGGAAGTGGAGAACCCAACAGTAGAGCAGGAGATGAGGACTGTGTCGTAACTGGACAGAACTGGGCTGATTATCCCTGTAGTACCAGGTTTATGTGGATTTGTGAGAGAAATGTTTCTAAATGTGTGTTAGTATAAATGGCACCAAATACCAGGAATATCAGTTTGTTTGGATCTGTAAGGGAATATTTAGCTGAATGGTCACCAGCATGTGAGTGAATAGCACATTTGTATTTAATTAATAACTGTCACTCTTTTAATTACATTTGACCTGTGTGCTTATTATTTTTTTATGGTAGAAGAGAAACAGTGTGGGAAGTCAGGGATTAACAGTGCTGCAAACTCCTAGAATCAGATTTTGAAAACTTTAGAATTGTGTAATGATGTTAGTTTAAAGACGATAGCAAGTTTGTAAAAAGATTCTTCAAATAGCTTTAAATATGTCGCAGTAATGTTTCTGAGAGTTCCGTCTGTCCTGGGAGGTATTTCACGTAGCGAACTTATAAAAGCTGAGCTTATTTGAACTAGCCTAACTTAATTTAGCCAAACAGGCTCTACAACTAGAATCCAGGTGAGATCTGTTTCCGGCAATTCAAGCCGCAACTTAGGCTCGTGCGCATGTACCTGATATTTAAGCAGCCCAGAGAGTTGAGTGCAGATACAGAGATATGTAAGTTATTATTTTTTTTAAAGCAATCACAGATGTTTAGCTTGTTTTAGGCAAGTGAATAATACTCAATAACGAATAATATTTACTTAACACTTCTTTCAGGGAGTGAATCAATGTCCCTTGTAACTCCACCATCGATGTGATGTTTGAAAGGTCTTTCCACTGTTCAGCCTGCAGTATTATCATCCACACTGCGTGTAAATGCATAGGCTGAGTCACAGACTCTCTGTGGGAGACTAAGAGATGCTACAGGTGGTTAAATCTGGACTCTAAGTGATAAAGTGCAGATTCTCAACAGGATGTACAATAAATATTAATAACTCCTCACAGTAGGCCCGAAAATCTAAATGCAAGAGTAAGCAATACTGTTACAATTACACAGGGAACAGTAACTCATTTTGGGGTCTTTAATATTTTATCCTGCATAAACCTTATTGAAAAATGTGCCTAAACTATATCGACCAAATCACAATGAGTTATTATACTATAAATATGTCTACTGTTAATAAAGAATATCATTATTTTAAACTGTATTCACTGATACAGACACCACAGAACTGTACAACAGTACCTTTCAGTAAGAGAAAAAGGGTCAACAGATCACTACAGTCCCATAGACACTCTGTGTCAGTGATCAGAACAAATAAATGGATGTTTATATCAAAAGTTCCATCAGCTAAATAAAGAAAACAGTAATTGTATTTGGTAGTAAAGAGTGATTACAAAGAGATAGTGCTCACTTTGAACCCAGAGGTTAAAGACCTCAACATCACTGAATGTGTTTGGCATTTATTTGATTGTGAGAAGCAGAAAATTCAACCAGGGAGGTGTATAAAAATCTCTGGGCAGAAAGTGAGTCTCCTGAAAGGAATGGAAGCTGTAATAAAGGCAAAAAGTGAATACAATAATATTTTTACATGTTGAGGTTTCTGTGTTATTTCCTGTTTAATGCATAATTTCTGACTGTTTATATTCAGACATGAGATCAGAAGGGTTGAATGAAGTCAGTGCAGGACTGTTTGTAATCTGTAGTTGTGTTTTAAATATTTGTCTCATACATCTGCCTTTTTTTTTTAATCATATTTTCTGAATTGCATGAATTTAATTGGGAATGTTACATGTAGCTGTGTAAGAATTGTAATTGTCTAATAAATTTAAGAGCTAAAAGCTTATCTAATAGAAATTGCAATCAATTATATATATGTGTTGGTGGCAATGTCCTGTTTTTTTAATGTATTAATATTTTATGTTGGTGGTCATCACCATCTTCCTGTATGATTGAATGGAGTAATTCAGTGAAGCACTTCAGTGAAGCAGCACACATTAACAGTATGGTTGGTTTCAGAGGCTCATTTGAGCAAAAACAACCTTTTAACACACACAAATCCCTGTTTGGATCTGTGCATCATTGCACATGTGCAACACTCAGAGACACCAACAATCTATGTGATATATATGTATTATTATTATTAAGAAAATATTCATGATGTAGGCAATGCCTAAAAGCTGCTAACTTCAACAAATGTACTCACACTAAAGTCCTCTAAAATGTATTTATTTATTTTAAATATTATTACTGTAAATATTCCCCTGTTCCTGACTGAGGATCAGATACCTTTTCCAGTTTGTACAGTTCTGTTGTATCAGTCATTGAGCAATAACAGTACAAAATACACAAGTGTATTCAGTAGTTTGGTTTCATAATCCTCTGAAGAACTTTTTAATCACTAAATTTGGATGTCACATCACAATGAATCCACAAGAGGGCACCAAACACCAGCTTAAAATCAGATCCAACACTAATCAGTCATACACACTTGTAAGACACACTGTATAATATACCATCAACCATCATGTAGTGCACTAAGTAGGTCATGAAATAATGTCAGCAACCAAATAGTGTATTATTTGTCTAACAGAAAACCATTTGGATTCAGCCTTAGGTTGCATGACTTCCTATTTAACATGAAGTGTACTATTTGAGTCTAGAAACTGCAGTTTCATGACTTACACTATATTTCCAAAAGTATTCGCTCGTCTGCCTTCACACGCATATGAAATTGAGTGAGATCCTATTCTTAATCCATAGGATTTAATGTGATGTCGGCCCACACTTTGCAGCTATAACAGCTTCAACTCTTCTGGGAAGGCTTTCCACAAGGTTTAGGAGTGTGTTTATGGGAATTTTTGACCATTCTTCCAGAAGCGCATTTGTGAGGTCAGACACTGATGTTGGACGAGAAGGCCTGGCTCGCAGTCTCCACTCTAATTCATCCCAAAGGTGTTCTATCGGGTTGAGGTCAGGACTCTGTGCAGGCCAGTCAAGTTCTTCCACACCAAACTCGCTCATCCATGTCTTTATGGACCTTGCTTTTTGCGCTGGTGCGCAGTCATGTTGGAACAGGAAGGGGCCGTCCCCAAACTGTTCCCACAAAGTTGGGAGCATGAAATTGTCCAAAATCTCTTGGTCTGCTGAAGCATTAAGAGTTTCTTTCACTGGAACTAAGGGGCCGAGCCCACCTCCTGAAAAACAACCCCACACCATAATCACCAAACTTTACACTTGGCACAATGCAGTCAGGCAAGTACCGTTCTCCTGGCAACCGACAAACCAAGACTCGTCCATCAGATTGCCAGACGGAGAAGCGTGATTCGTCACTCCAGAAACACGTCTCCACTGCTCTAGAGTCCAGTGGCGGCGCTTTACACCACTGCATTTGACGCTTTGCATTGCGCTTGGTGATGTAAGGCTTGGATGCAGCTGCTCGGCCATGGAAACCCATTCCATGAAGCCCTCTACACTGTTCTTGAGCTGATCTGAAGGCCACATGAAGTTTGGAGGTCTGTAGCGATTGACTCTGCAGAAAGTTGGCGACCTCTGCGCACTATGCGCCTCAGCATCCGCTGACCCCGCTCTGTCATTTTATGTGGCCGACCACTTTGTGGCTGAGTTGCTGTCGTTCCCAATCACTTCCACTTTGTTATAATACCACTGACAGTTGACTGTGGAATATTTAGTAGCGAGAAAATTTCACGACTCAACATTCTTTCATAAATGTATGTAGAAGCAGTCTGCATGCCTAGGTGCTTGGTTTTATACACATGTGGCCATGGAAGTGATTGGAACACCTGAATTCATTGATTTGGATGGGTGAGTGAATACTTTTGGCAATATAGTGTATGTAGTGAAATAGGGAGCCATTTGAGTTTCTGCCTAAAACTATGGCAGGACTGCTACACAGCTGGTATAGTGATCTCTTTTCAGTGAGTCAGATCAATCGGCTCAGCTCACGAATATGCGTCGTCTCTTTCGGTTCCCAAACACCTCTTCGTTCAGTGTTTTTGGTCAGCACAATTTATTGTCAAAAATTGACAATACAAAATGTTCTTCCACAAGTTGCATGCAATTACACATTTCCACCAGAGAGGTCTCCAAATCCCCAAAACTAATATACTATTTACTACTTACCAACAATTGTATTATGTTTGTCACTTATGCTATATATGTAGTTTCATTGGATGGATTTTAAAGCAGGAATCACAAGATCAGTCAGAGGAGATAATATAGAGCAATCCACCAACTGTCATAAAAGTAAAAAAAAACAAAAGAACTAACACTAATAGTAGCTAATAACCACCAAAAACACAAACAACAAGCAGCAGATTTGGGGATACTGAGTGGAAATCCAGATGCAGTCGATAATCCAAGGACATGTTTGATATCTGATGTGTGCATCTTTAGTTTGCACTGGGAGAAGCTGGGCTAACATTTCAACCAAATGCTTGACTTGTCACTAAACTCATTTTTGTACATGCCCAATACATGCCCTCTCAACTTACTCAAAATGTATCCAGATCTTCATTAGTTTCACACAGACACCTCGTTTGTTTAGAACACTTTAGTCTACAAAAATATATTTCTCCACACAGTTGATCGAAGGGGCCATTGTGAGTCACCGTAACCACTTTTACCTCAGCACATTTCATGGAAGGCAGAGCTACGTGAATTCCAAAACAAACAGACAGAGAAGCTCAGCTGTTGTACTCGTGGATCAAAACAATATGCAATTATAATTTTGAAGATCCCATAAACGAACACCACTGTGGCACCATTTAAGGTGGAACAGAAAAATTCCAATAAAAAGCCGTTTACTGGTTGTACAAAACAGAAAGCAACACTTAATTTCTTGGTGTTATCGTGATTCAAGATGCGACTTCTAGCTAAGTCGGCAACATAATTCCCAATCTAGCTTATATATTTAAATAAGGTCTATCAACATCATTTTATTCATTTGTTTTGTTAAAAAATTCTGTAGATTTCAACAGATTTTTAAAGAAAATAAAGATTTTGGTATGTATTTACCGAGATGAGTTTGGTGGCAATCCAACTCCAGCGGTTGTTAGCATTGTTAGCCTAGCATCTCCCGATGTAAACTAGAAGTAGAAGTCAGCTAACATACATGTCTTGGCTGCCAAACTGATGATTTTTTGCCAAACTATTTCTTAACTCATTAAAAATCACCTCTTCAGTGAGAGTCGGCTCCCAGCGGTCACCTAAAAGAGCCGACTCAAAGAGCCAAATCGCTCTGCGCATATACCATGTGGCTCACATTCAGGGAGCTAGAAATGATGTCACACTTGAGTTGATCATAGACCACTGTCGTCGTGCATCATTCTGTAATCTGTGTTATGCCCATATTAGGAACTCCGGGTCTAAGCTTTCTCTATGGCCAGAATGAATGAGGTTTTCGCCTCTGTCGCCCCCTGGGTTAAGTAAAAATGTTCAGAACCCGATATGTTTTGTCCTGTGAACATTCTTTTCTCGAATAACACTGGATCCCCTGAATTATGAGGTCGTTAAAGAGCTATAATACTAATATTGCTACATACAAACAAATGCTTCTGCACATCAATTTGACATCACTAAGCTATGTCGGGCCCAAAAGCCTCCCTTCTGTGCTCAAGGCCCGTGGACAGAAATGGATTCTTCTAGCGTATTCTCATTCTGTTACCTTAAGAGCTAACTGCAGTATAACTTGGTCTAACAAAATAAGAAAAATGTCAAAGTGTAAAAAGCAAAGTAAAATAAAAGACTTCAGCCGCTGAGTTCTTGTGGAAGGAAGGAAAAAACCTTCTTCTTTATTGAGCTTGAATGGCAAGATGGTTCCCAGACAACCACAATGCAAAGAACATGTCAAAAACACCCATTTTTATATCCTGTTTTGGGCGATGAAATAATTGCCCCTCCTTTTCTATGGGATTCTATACCATCTTAGTTCCCATCATTTCCTTGGGAACCCTTACACTTTCACTTGGTAACCCTTATTTCCAATCATACATGATATATGTTTTTTTTAAAAAATATCTTATCTTAGCCGTACCAGGATGTTCCACATTCCCAAGGACGTTAGCTTTGACTGGTCACATTGTAAATTCACCTACTCCATGACTGGTTCTTATCTCAAAGACAGCTCCTCTTGCTCACACAGCAGATTCTCACAAGCTTCTGGAGGCCCCTTTACTAAAAGGGGCATCCTGAGTCCAAGTTCTCATGGAAGCTAAGGCCTATTTTACAGTGTGAGGATTACTATTCTTTAGTTAATAGACGCTGCTTGTTAGAATTGTCAAAGATAAAGATTTTTATCTGACAGCTACACGAAACTAAGG